AAGAGTGTTCCTCTCTTGGACAGTTTAATGAAAATATGAATTCAATACTGTATTTGAATTTCTATTACATGCAGGAAGCTCAGGTCTGTTAGCTGCCATCAGTATCATTGTCTTTCATGTACTGAACGTCACCACTTAAATTGACTATGTACATGCAATCCCAGGATTAAAAGACTGAAATAGTCTTGGAAATTGGTTTTAACTATATGAACTTACTGTTGCGATCCCTCAAGAAACCCCTTCTCAAATTCCAGACAGGTATTTAAGGCATAGCTGCAATATGATGTACTAACATACACTGAACAACTGCGGCAATTCAAATTTCCTTTTTGGGTATGAGGGAGAAAAGCAACGGAAAGAAAAAGATGTTGCATTATTTATGGACTAACCAATGGACTTCCATTTGCTTGTTCTATGGAAAAAAGTAATTCCAATTTACAGCCCATATCCGGCGACAGCTCAACACATCCCATCCAGGGTACACTTCTGACTACCCCACAGTATTGCTCACTATCTTTTTAGTATGCAATCTAATTGCCTGTAATCCATTTAATCCACTAAGGCAACTGAATCCCTTCCAGTCACTACAAGTTGAGACAGCAGCTCGTGTGATTAACAGTTGCTTCTTCTGACAACCAAATAGCTTACAATGGACCTAATCCCACTCCAATTTCATCCACAACACTCTGCGGGTGTATGTACTTCCCTTACACACAGCGGCGTGCCCTTTCAGTCAGCAAGATTCTCGAGGTCATTTATGCCCTGAACGCCTTTATCTCTATCACACCACGCAAAGACAAAACGCTGAGCACTCTCGAATTGCCTCAGGAAAGCCCCTGACAAGGCAGAACCCAAGAAAAGGTTTCTGCAGCCATATCCAAGAAAAGCAGAACTGCACTGTTGGTGCATAGCTGTATTTTTAATTCTCATGCAACACTCTTCTGTCTAACTGGCAAACTGTGAGCTAAACCTGGTATCGGAGAATATTCTATTCAATATCCTGTTTCCTGTAAAAGACAACAGAAAAATAAGCAACAAATGTTGCTCCAATATCGAAATTCAATCTTTTACCCTGTAAGTCTACAAAAATATGCTGGTGCTAACAGAAGAGGGAGAGAAGTGAACACACAAAGCTGAAGTGTAAAAAAATACTTGCTGAACAAGCTTGCTGAAGGGAGTAGGCAGCCAACGTAGACCGCTACTAAAAAAGAGTTTACAAAAACTGTGGATTAATGGCATGGACCGAGCATGGATTAACCTGCTTCTACATCTGTGGAAACAGCAATTTTTCAAACCAGCACATTAAAAAGGAACTGAAACTTTCTTATTAGATTTCTAATTGGATTTCAGGATTATGGCCAGACAGGACAAGAAATTGGGATAAAGCTAATTGAAATTACAGAACACGGTTTTGTATGAGACACTGGAAGCAGTACACAAAAATTCTTAGTTAGAATTATACTTCAGAGACCAAAGGTTTCTACATTTCTGTGGATGCTTTTCTGTAAATCCAAGTACAAGCTCCCAGTCATTTGGCATATACCTCTGAAGATGGGGTGGGGGGAAGAACCCTCAAGTTTTACATACATAAAATTGACAAAGCAGAGGCATTAAAATCTGAACAGAATTCAGTAGCATTTAAGTAGGTATCTGATGGCACAAGTGTTTCACAAAGAAGGGAAATTTAAGTTAGATGTTAGTAGGAAATGGGAGGGTGGTGAGATACTGGAACAAGCTGTCCAGGGAGGTAGTGGATGCCCCAGCCCTGGCAGTGTTCAAAGCCAGGCTGGATAAAGACTTAAGCACCCTGGTCTAGTGGGGAGGTGTCCTGGCAGGAAGGGTTGGGACTAAATGATCTTTAAGGTTCATTTCAACTCCTTAACATTCTATGATTCTACAAAAGGATCTCAATTCTTTCCCTGAGGAGTAGAAAAACTATTAATTATGAAGCACAACGACTCAATAATCTTCAGATTTTTACCCTATGCAGCTTAATTTACCACTAACCAAACACAGGAAAATACTCTCTTACCTGTGCAAAAGAAAGTTTACATAATGCATCGGATAGTATGCCATTACTGCTATTGACATTCATCATTCCTACATATCTGCTGAAGAACAGTGCAGAAATGCTGCTCCCATTTATTCTGTTCAGTACAAAAGCACAAACCAAAATGAGACAAAACTCCACAAGCCCTTTTACTGGCCTGTTCTAAACAGTGTGGCATTTGCTCTGAATGAATATAAAAACCTGGCTGAGACAGTCTCTTTCACCACTGTTTTCATGCCAAGTAACAGCCTTAGGCAACATGTCAGTAAGTACAATTTAAGAACCTATTTTCCTAAGATCAACAGAAAATCCTTCCTGTTTGCATTAACAAACATTCAAACAGTTATTTACTGACAATTTGTAGAACCACCTCAGTTAAGGGTTAAACAGAGGCAGCCTAAAGTTTATAGCAGAAGTGACTGAACTGTTTTTGGCACAGCTTATTATAAATTGTGGCTCTAGGCTGCAACCGTCCCAAGACTGCCATTGTGTATTCCAGACACGTTGTAAAACTACAGTCTCAGACTTCCCTCCCTATTTTAGTTTCTTTTTTAAATTTTTTTTTTACCCAAACTCCCTTTTGGCACAGTACACTTTAATGGTAGGCTGCTTCTTCTTCTGATTAATCATGGTGGCAAGAGAACAAATTAAAGAGCGCACCTTAATTGCTATACTATGAAATTATTAGTGCTGGAACAATTCCACAGCAGCCCTGTATTAGACTAAATTCTGTCTCTTCATCACTTGCTAAGAAAAAAAAATGCCATAGGAAAACTTCAAAATGGTAACATCTATTAGAATGTACTTAAAGGCAGAGTGACACTGATTGTTTCTCAGTCAGGAAATTTTGGTTTGCTGGTAAACACTTGATTTATCTACATATTTGCATTTCAGCATATTGTCTTTTCTATGCAGCCAGTGTTGCTAAGGCTAAAACTGCAAAGAGAAATCAGCTTCAGCATGAACTCTGCATCTGGTTTTAATACTCAAATGCAGTTCTGGAAATACTCACATGCATGTACTGACAATGCAGGTATCATCACTTAAGTCATCTAGAGCAGATGTATTTTGTTATAGCAAGATAGAAAACTTGCTCTTGATTTTATATGCTAGAAGGGCAAGAAAGTCATACCACAGCTAAACATGAAGTTAATCCCTGATTAGTCAATGCCTCCTTCCATCAAGTTCTGAAAATCCGAAAGGGTAAACAGCTTTCATGCACTATCTGCAGAGTAACAATGACTATGAAAACGTTTTGATAGCATTTGCACATAGAAAATAAGAGCAGAGATATTACAAAGAGAAGCAATGTAAACAAACTTCCGATTAACCAGTGGAAGATATTCCCCGGATACAATGAAATCAATTGTGGAATATAAGTGAGACAAATGGTTCTTCAGGACTTTCACCAAGTTGGTAAAACAGGCATGATACTCCAAGTCCTCAAGATCAAGAGGGCTGTTCACCTTGAACAAGACAACAGATCAGCAACAAAGTTTTGCCTTGCATGGTTTTAAGATGCAACATTCTCCTTGATTTTGAGCAACAGTGTGTTAACGCTGCTACAGTTTAGCTTTGGTTTCTGCACACCTCACCCACACCTAACAAAAGTCAGAAGCATCGACTCTGCTAGCTTCAAATAAAGTCAACCTTGCAGCTCAGACTCACTAGCAGCACTGAGCAGTGTAACTTTCCATCCAAAACATACTTTCAAAATTAGAAAAAAAACAAACCACTTTGAAAACCGATTGAATTTCACTGCAGTTTTACACACACTTAGTAACAGCCCTTAGCACTTAACAGCATAAAGCAAACTTTCTCTTCAAGTTGTTCCCACAAGACTACAAAAATACTAATTATCAGTTACAAGGAGTATGAAGGAAAACAGAGTAAGTTTTGCTATCTACTCCTTGCCATCTAGCTGCTCAAATACAGGGCTTCCACCCGTTTAGGAGATAAGCTCCAGACAGCAAGCAAAGTTGAATACAGACCACCAAGGTCTCTGTATACAGAGGCTCGATGTCAAGGGCAGTTTTGCAGAGGTTCCTTTATGATTTCACTTTTCATAAACAATTCTATCCAGCCTTTGGCATCAATACCAATTACCACAGCATCAAGTGTAGCCTTTATTCCACAATTACCAAATCAGTAAGAACAGTTCTTTACACAGTCAGAGAAGTGTTATCTTGAAATGTAACATCAACTTGGTTTGGAAGTTGCACCTTACACAGACAGTTGAACAATCTCTGAACCACATGGAACACCCTGGGCATTACAGCCACTGAACTGAGCACTGCAAGAGCTCTGTTTCATGTATTTTAGTTTTAGCCATTTTCCCTCCTGTATCAAGTTGCTGGGGTATTTTTGTTAATGAAAGCAAAAAGCAGCAAGCAGGATAAAAGCCAGTACTTAATGACACTGTCAGGCCTTTAGCATTTGCTCAGTTTTATTCACATTTTGTTTACACACACATTACCACTGTTCTCTTCTTCACGGTCTAGTCACTCCAAACCTCAGTGGCAAGGTCATCAAGTGCTCCTTACCTTCAGAACTGTTCTAGTATCTTCCTTACTGGAGCTTCCATTTACTCGAGTCACTCTATATTCTAACCACTGCTGAACAACAGCTTTCTCCTCGGCAGTGCTTCCCAGCAGTTGGTCCTTCTTGGCCTGCTTGACCAAGTGGGCAGCGATGGTCATCAACCCTGTCAAACCAGGACCATTGTTGGTCTGAAGAACAGGAACCTACAAGTGGAAACAAAAGTGTAATACTAAACAACTCATTTAAAAAAACCAGTATAGCTGTATGAACAGCTATTGGTTTTTCATAGTCCCTCAAAAGGACCTTTAAAACAATATACCAGGATTTGGGATTGTTCCTACTAAAGGTGGTTCCATCAAAGCCAACTCTATGTTTGCTTTTTACTCTTCGGGGTGGTTTGTTTTCAGTTTTCAGAAGAAGAATGTGAACAAACCAAGACATCTTTATCTCCAATTAATCAAGTTCTGACAGTATTAGCCAGAAATAGTATTGCTTGTTATAACACTGGCCGAAACCTTTATTAACTGACTTTTAACTGGTTTTCAAAGTCAGGTCTCTGACTGAAGACTGTTAAGTCAGCAGCATCCAACTTCTCTCTGAGCAAATTACACTACCCAGACCTACTGAAATGCTTATCCATACTTACTGTCCTGTTCCCAAACAAGTTAGGAGCTCTCTGGTATCAGAACAACACAACACACCTCTAGCTTTGACCATGTCTTTGTTAGTGACATCAGCACACGTTAAACTGTGGGAAGCGAAACTGAACCACTAGTGCAAGAAATGAAGTGAATAGACTGAGCCTCACTGCAACAGACTGAAGCCCATTCAGTCATTTATGGCATCCAATAATAGAAGCTGACTAAAATGCAACAAAGTACCTGACCACACAGAGGAGTGTTTTCTGTGTTCAGGTTTATTTAGTCTAAGGTGCAAGTTGAAAGCATAATCTTAATTTTGTAGTTGTATCGAGTCTTTGACTACTATTCAGATTTTTTTCCACTGAATATGCAGCTAGAACTACAGACTCATATAGTTACTTGACTTTTCCAGACTTGAGCTTTACAATTATAAGGTTAATGTACCAGTTGGGTAGTCAAACAACTAAGGAAGCTTTTGCAACTAAAGAATACACATACGCATATGTATACATACGAATGTAGGGGCCTACAAGGGAGTCAGAGAGGGACTCTTCGGTAGAAGCTGCAGTGACAGGACAAGAGGTAACAGGTTCAAACTGAAGGATGGGAAGTTTATGTTAGAGATTAGGAAAAAGCTTTTTCCTGTGAGGGTGGTATGACACTGGCAGAGTTTGTCCAGAGAGGTAGTGGATGCCCCAACCCTGGCAGTGTTCAGAGCCAGGTTGGATAAAGCCTTGAGCAACCTGGTCTGGTGGGATGTGTCCCTGCCCATGGCAGGGGGGTTGGGACTAGATCATCTGTAAAATTCTGTGATATACAAGTTCAGGGCTCTTAGCATAAACAGTCAATTAAAAAAAACCAAACCAGCCCAAAACATAAGGCAAGTGCACAGCTGCTTTTCTCAGTCGACCTTCTCCAGGAGGGAGGATCACACATCAAGGGCCTCAAGTTTGTGATACTCTCAGCCTCGTATTACATTTCTTATGCCTCAGATGCCTCTTAAGCCATAGAGCTTAATGGTCCCATACAAACTTAAAAGCGTCGAGGCACCTACTTTAAAAAACCAAAATATTTAAGAGCAGCAGGTGCTCGCTGCAGGCAAGTTCCTGGTACAAAACCAGCATCTTTTCCACCCAAATAACTTAATCAGGCTAGCACAGACATAACTCGCACAGGCACCAGCAAAAGGCTGGGAAAAGGAGCGTGGCGCTAGAACAACCCTGTTTCAAGCCGACATCTCTTCCGAGACACACGGTAACCCTCGCACGGGCAGAGGGGAGAGGCTTCCAGCCCCTGCGAACAGGCAGC